TGCGTGTGTGTGTGTGTGTGTGTGTGTGTGTGTGTGTGTGTGTGTGTGTGTGTATGTATGTGTTGGGAGGCACATCATTTGTGTGGTAGATGCCCTGGTCTGTAAAAATAATGATGTGCCCAGGATGGGGTTAGCAACAGCGAGGCAGAGGGCACTGAGCGTGGGTAGAAGAGGAAGTATGTGGCTCATGGCAGCAGGTACACTGTGGGCACATTTGAGAAGCTGGCCAGTGTGGGGTTACCTGAGCTTAGATTCTTGTGCCCATTCCATTGTACCTAAATCACTGGCTATCCCTGAAAAATTCTTGCCTTCTCTCTGAGTCAAGACTTCTTTTTCTGTTTAGGAAAAAAAAAAAAATCAAGAGTCAAAAGGGCTGAGCTGGACAAACTCTAAAGTCCCTTCCAGCTCCAAGTTTATCTGTTTATCAAACAGCCTAATCTCTGCAAAAGCACTTGTAACGGCAGCAGCCTGGAGACAGCTTGGCAGGGTCTGCTGTCAGACTCAAGGCTTTGGGGGTTACGCAAAGGGCACGGAATACCCCGGCCATCAAGATAAGGTGAGGAACACCTCAAGGGGGCCGACCTTTCTCCCTGCGGTTCACAGGCAGCGTGGGGGCCCCTCACAGATCTCAGAGCTCCTGCACGCTTGTCTGATTTAACCCTTATCAGGTGGGTGCAGGTGGAGGCAGTAGTGAGGCTCGGCACACATCTCACGCCCCAGGCCCTGAGAGTGCTCAGCCCTTTCTTGGCCTGGAGTAAGCAGATTGGGTTTTGGTGCCCTCTAATTGGAGGCCTCACAATGTGAACAGCCAAGCAAAGAAATGTCTTTGATTGTGGATAAGCCATGCACGTATACACTTCAGGTCTTCAGTTTCTGCATTGCAAGAATCTTGGTTTCCAGAGCATACTTATGTCTTTGGGGTGTCAAGACAAGATCTGATGCTAAAATTTGAGTGTGTCTCCCTTTTTGTCCTCACAGAACTGTGGGATGGTCAAATGTTTCAGAATTAGTATTTCAGGGTCAGTGCTGTGGTGTAGTAAAGCTGCCACCTGCAGTGCTGGCATACCATACAGATACTAGTTCAAGTCCTGGCTGTTCCACTTCTGATCCAGCTTCCTGCTAATGAGCCTGGGAAAGCAGCAGAGGAAGGTTCAAGTGCTTGGGCCGCTGAACCCATATGAGAGATCCAGAAGAAGCCCTTGGCTCCTGGCTTTGGAGTGGTCCAGATCCAGCCATTGTGGCCATTTGGGGAAAGTGATCATTTCATCTTCAGTACAAAAGCTGTCTTTCTATTCCTCTAGTCTGCTAGTCTGAACACTGTAATCATTGTGGTTGTGACCACCCCAAGGGCCTTTCTCCCTGGTGGTTCACACTCACCTGCACCCCCACAGACCTTGGAGATCTGACTTAACCCTTATTTCTCTCATTAAGCAGTCACGGAATTTCCATCGAAAGATTCACAATGACTTTTTAAAAGATTTATTGTTTTTGTTGGAAGGGCAAGGTATAGAGAGAAGGTGAAACAGGGAGAGATTCCATCTGCTGGTTCACTCCTCCAATGGCTGCAACAGCCAGAGCTGAACCAAACTGAAGACAGGAGCCAAGAGCTTCTTCTGGGTCTCCCACATGAGTGCAGAGTCCCAAGGCTTTGAGCCAACCTCTGCTGATTTTTCCAGGCCATAGCCATGGAGCTGGATGACAAGTGGAGCAACCAGGAAACAAACTGGCACCCATATGAGAGCCTGATGCATGCAAGGCAAGGATTAAGCCATTGAGTCATTGTCCCAGGCTCATGATTTCTTCATATATATTTTCTTTGTGTTAAGATGCATTAATATATTTGAAATGCAGAGAAAGAGAGAGAGAGATCTCCAAATTGCTGCCATGGTCAGGGCTAAGTCAAGCTGAAGCCAAGAGCAAAGAATTCCGTCCTAGTTTTTGATTTGAGTCGCAGAGACCCACACAATTCCCTGGGCCATTTTCCATTGCTTCCCCATATGTACAGGTGGTAGTCTCTGAGTAGCTAGCAACTAGAAACACTTTCTAAAGCAAGGAGGGTTGGTGGTGGCGATGTTTAAGTTGTCATCACTTGCTAATTTATTATCTCACTTCCAGATCCAAGGGATTGAAACTAATAATTGGCAAGTGGGGAATTGTAAGGTCTCAGGGCAACCTACACCTGATAGATGGGCAGGAGCTCGTGATAACAGTACCCACACATGAAAAGAAGCCAACGCAAAGGTTTTTTATGACAAAGGCTGAGAGGCAGTGAGGTGGGACCCCTGCTCCTGGCTGGCTGGCCTTTGCCTGCTGCCTGTGGAGTTAGCACTCTCACCATTATTCCCAATGCTGCTGCTATATCCCTGTGGAGGCCCCCTGCCCCGAGGATTTGCCTTCCTTTTGCATAGCTGCCTGCCTTTGGGCTGCCAAGCCTGAGGTCAGCCTGGAGAGGCACCTAAGGAAGTCCCCTCTTTCTCGATCAGTAAGGCACAAAGAGCAAGTGCTAGATGCACCTTCCATGTCCATCCACCTAGTGCCCTGGACCCCAGCAGGATGCACTCCAGGTACTGGTCCTCAGGTTCTCAAACTCTGGAGGTCTGCTTGTGGTGCCTGGGCCACTGACTGAGGGAGGCAGCCGAAAAGGGAGCCCATGTGAAAATGTCATAGAGCAGCCTCTGTGCGATGATGGTGAATACTTACTGTATTTGCCTGTTTGCCAACTGGCTGCACAGTGTGGTGAGTAACACACAGCCCCAAGAGCCATGCTTCCTCTTTGGCTGGGAGACCAGAGCTGGGCGACAGTGGTCCAGCATTGCTTGACAAGGTGCAGGAGGGGAGAGAGAGAGAGAAGCCAGCCAGATAGTGGAAGCCAGACCATCTCTCTTGCTCTGCTTCCTTCCCAGCTCCTCCAGTGCACAGAGTCCACAGGAAGAGTCAATATGCCGAGCCATACTTAGCTTCTACCTGCATCTTGATACAGCAGCCAGAGAATCCCAGCTCTGCCCTGCTTGGCTGAATTCAGTCCTCTGAACCCAAGATCAAAGGGTAGGGGTGTGCCAGGCATGTGAAGTGGAACTTCCGCTTCACCGGTCACTTTTGGCTGATGGTGGTGGTGGCGGGGGGCACAGTCTACCCTGACTGCTTAAAAAGCAGTCAGCACCACCTTAACTTGAACAGCCAGTATGTCCATTGGGTTTCTGGTTTTGCCTGCTGGCTGCCTGCTGATGAGCCCTGGGGACTTGGGGGTGATGAATTATTGCCTAGGGACATCATGGATAAGGCCACTATATGTGGAAGTGAGGAATGAATCCTGAGGGACACCCAACAACAGGGCCACTGTACTCGCAGGTAAGTGAGGGGACTGAGACCTGGTGGTTTGGAGGGGAGAGACCTGAAGATCTGTATGGATCAGATTGATCCACAAACCCACATGGGAGTCCTGAGATGGGCTTGTTAATGCAGAGCATCACTGACTGCCACACGCCAGCCCACACGAAAGCTATGGCTGTGGACCTGTTTATCAGAGCTAGATCCCAGTACATGATTGAATGTTGGAACAGGGGATAGGTCACATTAGGCAGGACCATGACACCAGCACGTGAGAGAACCAGCTCTGGGGGTAGAGTCTGTGGGGGATAAATGGGTTCAACCCTGTGGAAAAACAAGTCCCACTGGTTAACTCAAGAGCTGGATGGTGATGGGCTGAATTAGGTGTGAATATGGAATCTGCCAACACTCACACGTACTGGGGCCGAGAATAGGCTGAGCAGGTCCAAGCTGCAGCACTTGCATATGCATTCTAAAACAGGGTGTAAAGCAGATTGGCCAGCAACATCCTCCAACTCATACAAGGCCAAGATGGAGGGGCAGGCTACGCTGGGCAAGGGCGTAGCACCTGCTGGTGCATGTGAGACCTGGGTTTGGGAGTGGGCTAGCGGAGGAACCTGGGAAACTCTCCTATGGGGCCATGGCTCCCACTGTTTAGCACATGTTCCAGTCTTAGGGATTTGGAAAGCTGGGCAAGGTAGCCCCATCCATTGACAAGTATATAGGTTGGTTTTGGAAAGGGGCAGACTGGGCAAGGGCTAAGCAAACCTAGCCCACTGGGAATCCTGGGGCCTATGGAACTGTATCATAAAATTATTTAAAAAGTAATAAGGGTGGCCTTTTTGCTTACTATTTCTTCTGCTTTGTATACCCCCTCCTGTTTTTTTGTTCAATACCTCGTATTTTCTATGCCACATTCTAAAAGACACACACACACACACACACACACACACACACGTACACACGTACAGCCTCTAGACTCTTTCCTCCTCAAATATTCTTCCTTCCTCTTTTCAGGTTCCATTCATTCCACGAGCCCAGCAAACTGTCTTTAGATGTCTACCTTCATGCTGACCACACTGCCTGGTGTCCAGTGTGGGGGAAGTTCTGGCTGTGGCCCCAGGATTTAATGAAACCCTCATGACATCCTTTGGTCATTGCCTTCTAGGCTCACCATTATGCTTCCACCTGCAAACAAAAGGTTTGGTATCTAGAGCTGTTTGGCTTGTAGAAAGATGATGTCTCATGGGTAGGTGAGTGACTGCAAATAAACAGAAGGGTTCTGCTTGTTCTCTGGGACTCCAGTGACTAGAGAGCCCTATGCTATGGATTGAACAGGATTTGGCTCCCTAAACTCATGAAACATTTTACACCCCCAAATTTCATGCTAATGATGAAGGGATGAATGCTAGCAGTTGCTGGAAGAGGGTAGAGGCTTTGTGCAATGATGGCATCTGAAGGTGGAGGCGGGGGTCTTTGGGAAGTGGTTGGATTAGGTTAGGTCGCCAGGTTAGAGTCTCATGATCTACTCCCGGTGACCTTATAAGGAGAGATCCCACAGAGCATGGAGGAAGAGTCTGCTTCCTGTGCCTGTCTCTGTTTCCTGGCTTGCTTTGTGATTGCTGCCCTATACAACCTGCACCGGAGCCCAGAATTATGGGTTCTCTGGATCTTGGACTGTGGACCACTAAACTGCAAACCAACTAAACCTTCTTCCCTCCTAAGGTGGATCCTCTTTGGTAATTGAGTTAAAACTAAAAAAAAAAAAAAAAATCTGATTAATACAGCTGAATGGGAAAGCATCAGTGAGGCCAAATCTGCTAGTACACAGGAAAACATCCTACTAGTGCTCTCCAACATCAGAAGAGGCTACCTCACCCCTCAGCAATGGAGTGGATCTGAGAGGCTCTGCAGAGAAGAATTTTACAGATCCTTCCTGGCTCACTCGTCTACTGCTCTACAAGAAACCATTCCAAACTGGTAGCGTACGATTACGATGACTTATGACCCCTCAAGATCTGTTGTTTGGCTGAGGTTGGCCACACCCTCTTCTATTGGTCTTGCTTTAAGTCAGTTGCATCACCACAGTCACGTGACAGCTGCCTAGAGCCGGAGGATCGTGAGGCAGATCTGCAGCTGGTCTCCCTCTGTGTGGTCTTGTGTCACCCAGTCAGCTAGCCCGAGTTTTCTGATACAAAAGACCTTCAAAAAGGTTATGGGAAATGCCTATTATATGAAAAAAAAAATACCTTGTGTGGATTTCAAATTTTTTTTTGCAAGAAAATAAACATCTTTAAATTTCATTTTTGTATGACCTTTTTGAAGTCCCCTTGGAAGTGGACATTAGGAGACTTCAGGTCTGGGCTGTGGAGCACACACAATACTGTTTTTGCCACATTCTATTGGTCCAAGGAGGGACAGCCCAGGATTAAGATAGGTGGGGAGACGGACTCTACCATTTGATGGGAAGAGTTCCAAAGTATTTGTGATCCTATTTAACCTGCCACACTTTCCAAATCGCTCTTGCTTCTGAATCTTCTAGGTAATCCTTAAGATTCTATTAACCCCTGGTGTGGACAATGATAAATTTCTTTATCTGTGACAAAGTACTCTGTGTGGACACTGATTGCCTACCAAGCATCCATTGCCTCCCCGCCGCCACATACTTAAGTGGAAACTGGTGTCACGCCATTGTCATCGGAGGGCTGGTGAGTAAAATGGTTCATTGACTGGCTGACTGGTATAGTCTTGTGCCCATAAATCTCCATGAGCCACTAAATCCTCTTCATTGATTTAAATCAATCAGAATTAGATTTTCTACTACATGTAGCTTTGAGTAACTGAAGTTCAGCTTAAAGTTGTTTTATGACAGAACAACTGCTAATAGGTTGCAAAGCAGAGCACGACTTTTAAAGAAGTAATTGTCAATGTGTTTTTGCTTTCAGAGAAAGGGATGAAGTGGGATACTCATTATGTCACAATAGAGTAAGAAAAACTCTTAAACGTCTATTCAATCATGTCACAGGACAGGGGAAAAGGACAGCAGACTGGAGTGGAAATGTAACTCAGATGTCACAATTCCTAGATGAGTGTGTCCACCACTGCACTGTCCCATAGCCTTCTCATCAGTGGAACTGCCTTGCTCTTCACAATTTTTCAAAGTATTTACTTGTAGTTATTTGAGGAGCAAAGAAAGGCAGGGAGACAGAGACTGGGAAATAGAAGTAGGTAAACAGAGTCCCCACCCTCTAGTGTAAGCCCCAAATGTTCACAACAGCTGGGACTCAGCCGGGCTGAAGCCAGGAAGCAGACACTCAATCCAGGCCTCCCAGGCGGAGATGGAGAGCCAAGTGCTTGAGCCAGTGCCTGCTGCTCCTGTACAGTGCACACTGGCAGGAAGCTGGGTTCAGGAGCAAGGCTGGGATTTAAGCTTCGGATGTGCGCATCCCAAGCGAATATCAGCTGCTTGGCCAAATGCCTACCCCAAAACCACACTTTCAGTGTGGACTTTTACATGATGTTGGAGACCCATTTGGTCATTGCTTTTACAAAACAGAGATACATCTACCTTATAGTTCAGCAATTCCACTGCTGGTTATCTACCCAAGAGGAATAACGTATTCTGACCACTCAGTGACTTATGTAAAAATATTCATCACAGTTTTAATCCACAATGGCTAAAGACTGGGTATATCCCAGATGTTCAACATTAGTGTATGAACAACCCACACAACATGACATGACCATATAATTGAATTCTACTCTGAAATAAATAAGAATGCTACTACAGATCCATGTAACTTGCTTGTATCTCAGAACCAAACTGGATGAAATAAGCCAGGCACAAAAAGGATACATGATAGGATTCCATTTATAGAAGGTGCTAGAATCACAAATCCAAGTTGCAGAAACAGGAAGCTGAAGTCAGAGCAGAGTCTGCTCCCCACTCATGCACACTGCTCTGGAGGGTACACACAACAAGTGCCTGAAATGATGAAGTGCTTTGTGTCTTAGTTGGGGTGTGGGGCACTTGTGTGCACTCACTTGTCAACATAAGATCTGTGTTTTTTCACTGCCCGTGAACAAATGCATTTCTAGCCAGAGAAAGAGAATGAAAAGCAGCCCTCTCTCTAGCTGGGAAAGGATTGTGTGAGCCCAAACAGGCAGCTGCCATAATGAGTTTGCAGTGGTATGTCCCAGGGCCAGCACTTGGAGAACTGTCTATTCCCGCTTGGCCTAATGGCTGAGGTCAGCCAGCTTCCTGTGTTCTCTGCCAGCCAGGGCCAAGCCATCAGGATGGGCCCAACCACAGCTCCTGTAATAGCAGGTTGGGAGAGCCATTTCCTCTTAGCCCTGCAGCCACATCACAGGGCCAGCCTGACTCTCTGGCCTGCTTCCCCCACCACTGGCTGCCTTGCGGAATTCACCAAAGAATTTTCTCTTTCCTCACCCTCAGATACCCTTCCGGAACCTTCTTAGGCCCAGACTGCACTCTACATCACCCAAGCTCCATGGGTGATCAACTGTGGTTTTTCTAACATTCTACAACTGGTCTACTATTCTGCAATTGGTCACTGCAACAGTATTTTCTAGAACATTTGTTTTGATGCCATTTGTGGTTTCTTTATATTCCCTGCCAAACTGTCAACTCAGGGTCTCTCCATATGCCAACATCTGGTATTCAATTGGACGTCTGGATGATCTTCCAAAGAAATGATTGCTGAGAGCCAGGGAATTTCTTCTGTTCCTGCTTTCCCTCTGTTCAAATCCTACTGAGTTATCCAAATGATCTCTCTATCAACACATGCGAATGTGTTCAGAATCTTCTGTGTAGGAGATGCCTAACATTGACATCAAGCTGGAAGTTGGTTGGAAAATAATGTGTTCTGCTGTTGTGTTATTCTCTTTTATTTTGCTGTTTAAAATAATCTCAAGAAATCGCAATCAAACCCCCAAATAGGCACAGGATGCATAACTGAATTCAGTTTTCCCCTTATTACATTGTTGGTATTATCAACGTACAATGAAATCTCTGAGACGCCAGACATATGGCCCCCAGATGATGTCTGAGTCGGGGCCTTGAGGGAGTGTGACGACACTTCAGCCGAGTGCACAGTGTATGCTCCAGCTGCAGCCTGCAGATGTGTGCCCGGGCAGGCTGGGGAAGGACACGAGCCCTGGGCTTGCCTCCTAGTGCTCCTCCTAGAACAGTGGCAACCTCCATTCCTCTTCTGGAGAAGCAGCAAGCCATGGTTCCCAGACACACAGCTGGCCTGGTCCAAGGGGAAGCACGTGGCTGAGGACAGGAGCTTTGGTTCTGATCCCAGGCCCTTCCCGAAGTTAAAACTCTAGGGGCCTTCTGCCAACATGGACCTTGGAGAGGCTCTTCAAGCCTGCTGTAGGGCAGCGGAGAGGAACTGGGGTGTGGATGGGACAAAGTGGGGGAAGTCCCTTGGGGCAGACCTCCTGGCCATCTCTCCTTCCCACTTCGGCCATGCCTGGAGTACTGTGATCTGGTTTGTCTTGGGCCTCCATGTAAAATGGATCTGGACAGCAAAAAAATCACCACCTACAGCAGATAATCCACCTGCCGGGTCATACCTCATATCAGACTATGACTAAGGAGCCCCCTTGGGCTAACACACGCAGACTTGTTACTATGTCTTACTTTTGACTGACCTTGGTGGTAACCTGTCAGGCCATCAACTCTCCTGAGACCGGGCTCCAGTGTCCAGCTGGGGAGACCAGGCTGATATGGCAGAATCATGCTCTGAGCTGATTCAACACACATGCTCTAAGTGCCTCCTCCTTCCTTGCTTTCTTGTGTTCACTTTCCTTTCCTTTCCCTCTTCCTCTCTTCCCCTGCTTTCCCTCTCTCTTCCTGATCCTTTCCCAGTCTCTGGCCTGCCCATTGTAGACCTTTCAGTGGCCATAAATTCCTTTCACACTTGAAGCAGTTTCCAAGTGAGTTGAGAAGGGTAAGTATGTCCCAGCCTCCTGCCTAGACACCGTTTCGGGTGCAGATAGAACTGGGCCTGCCTGGGATTCTCACAGGAGCCCACCTGGGCCCATCTGCTGCTATCGTAAATCTGCGGGGAGTTGAAGTCGATTGATCTGGGGAGCGTTTCCAAGCTCCCATGTCTGCCAGCTGTGTGGAGCTGCCTCTGCCAGGCGTGTGAAGCGCTGAATCAGCAAAATGAGGTGCCTCCAGATTGGACAGGGAGAAACGTGACTTTACAAGTGCGGGGGAAGTCCATCTGGAGATGACTGTTGAACAAACGGTAAATGCCGCAGCTACACCGCTTGGCCACGCGCATGCTTCCGGGGCCATTCCATTCACTGTTCTCCCCCCCGCCCCCCACGGCTGTACTCCGGGAACCTGCGATGGTTGCTGGCAACACCATACAGCAGTATGCAGGAGCAGGGGAACCTCACAGCATCCCCCTTCTGGGACGTAGGACCCCAGAGTTACCGGGTCTACACACTCTTGCTCCATCAGAGATGGATGTGGTTAGCTGAAGGAGGCTCATCTGTTTCCATCCCTGACGCACACTGATGAGGTTTAAATGACAGCTGTGAACAGCATCCTCTGGGTTTTTTCAATCTGGAAACTCTCTAGTTTCTGTCCTAGGATGCATCTTTGCAGAGAGGGCTTCCCCAGAAGGTGATTCAGTCACTCACCCTGTGAGCAAGCAAGCGTTAAGGGTGTCCTGTGCCAGAGACCTATGCTGTTACGCCTTTTTTTTTTTTTTTTTTACAGAGTGAGGCAGTCGCCTGGTGCCTTTAGGTTGAAAGGCCAAGAGCGAACTCCTTTTCACTTCCTCGGAAAGTAGAGTCAGGGCATCGCAATGCGTTCTAGGGGGAGCTCTCTCCGTACAGGTGCTGGCCTGGAAAGTTTCCACTCCGCAGGCAGAAAGGACAAAGGGGGCTGGCTCTGGACATGTTCTCCATCACGTTGAGAGCTGTGTCCAGCCTCATTGTGGAGAGCAGCAGGAAGCTGTGCAAGGCACTCCAGCCCCCACAGGGATGGCCGCGGCTAGAGGTGAAAGGTCAGACACAGGCAAGACTGACCCCTCCACGTTTTTGTTCAAAGTGTCACAGTGTAAATTAATCAGATTTATGGCATTAAACTTTTCCAGTATTTTGATCATCTCAGCTCTTTTTCTCCAGCAAAATTCTTTCAGGAAGGGCTGAAGCTCTTTTCAGATGGGAAAGGATTTTCTGGTTTTGCTCGTTTTAGTTACCAGGGAAATATGTTTGGGCATATAGAGAGGCCAGCATGGCCCTTCCTTCCAGGAGGGCTCTTGTATTTCAAAGCGATCTCTCCTGGTACTCAGTCGAGCATCCATTAGCCCGAGGACCTGACCAAGGACAGGCTTGGCTGGTGGGGATTAATTCATCCCTTCTGCTTTGACCACAGCAACTCAGGAAAACCCAGGTGTCCTGGGATCCGGAATGGCCATTGCGCTGGCGCCGGAGGAGCAGTAACTCAGAGAGGCGCGGCGGGGGCGGGGGCGGTTACTGGAAGCGAGCGAGCGGAGAATCCTTCAATCCGGAAGCTGGCGGCACAAGCCAGCTCCCAGCAGGAACAGGAGGGAGGCTGAGAGCTAACTGCAGGTGCTTTTCAGGCCGCCGCGCAGGAGAGTCCCAACTTCCTGCTGCTAGAAATTTGTCTGCACAGTTTTTCTTCTCATTCAGGAGTGACAGAAGCCAGGAGACGCAGACGCCATCTGATAACTTGATTAAAGCCTGCACGGCCACCGGGGCGCCTGGGCATCGGCGGAGAGGCAGCACGCGTCTGCTCGAACCTTTCCACAGGAGAGAGCTGACAGGTTGCAGCTGGTCGATTTCCTCACCCTGAGCGAGCGTCGAGTGGCTGCTCTCTCTCAGTCGCCTGCAGATGTAACCTGGGAACAGCTCTGCTACAAAGAAAAGCAGCGCAGGGTCGTTTTCCTACAGGCATTTGCAGCCCAGGGATTGTGTCTCCTAAATATCACAAACATCAAAAGGAACACCTACTGTGTGCTGCATCCGCTGTGTGCTAAGCCCTGTTTCAGACACTGAAAAGACTGCAAGGTCCACTTCAAGCAAAGTCCTTGCTTTCGTGGAGTTCAGAGTTGGTGGGGGGGGGGACACACTGGTAGTAAGTAGTGTTGATTTTTAATTTATGAGCGTGGTTCTGGCCTCCCCTGTGGACCCCATACTGCTGAAGTCTGTTATATAAAATGACACTGTATTAGCATATAACCTGGGCAAAATCTCCCATATACTGTAAATGGTCTCTAGGTTACCTATAGTACCTAACATAATGTAAGCACTATATACATAGTTGTATTGTTGAAGGAACATGATGAGGAAAAAAAAAATCTGGCACATGTGTAGTACAGACATACTCATCATGGGCCTTGCTTGACCAACAGTTGAATCCACAGACAAGGCAGCTGCAGAGACCAAGGCCTGATCACACACAAAAACACAACGTGAAGGACCAACATTATGGCCTAGAGGGTTAGGTTCCTGCTTGTATTCTGGCATTCCACATGGGCACCAGTTCAAGTCCTTGTTGCTCCACTTCTGATCAATTCCCTGTTAACACACCTGCACCCATGTGGGAGATCCGGAAGAAGCTTCTGGTTCCCACACCAGCCATTGCAGCTATCCTGGGAGTGAACCAGCAGATGGAACCTCTTTCTCTCTGTCTCTCTCTGTAACTTTGCCTTCCAAATAAATAAAATAAATCTTGCTTAAAAAAAAATAGATAAGACACTGTCATGAGCAGTAAAATAAAGAGAATAAAAGAAGTCAAGAAGGATGGTGGGAATAGGTGACCCTGTAGGTACATAGAGCACACAGCAGCATGGTCTCTGATAAGAGGTTGTGCCGCTGGACCCCCGGGCCAAAGCAGGGCAGTACTGGGCTCACACCTGGGCAGAGTCATCCTGAAAGGGGGGACAGCAAGTACAAGCTCCAGAAAAGAGAGCCTGCTTAATATGGTCACTGAATATGCTCCTATAATTCCATGATAGCATTTGAAAAAGCTCATAGAAAATGGAATTAAAAGATGGATTTACTTAGCTGCGAATATTTTTTGAAGCCATGCAGAGTTTGTTTCTTTTTTCTTCTTCTTTTGGCTTTTTTGAAAGCCCCTGGTATTTCACAGACTAATGTTAGAAAGAAGGCCACTGAATGACCATAAGGGTAAGAGAACAAACATGTGACAATGTTTAAGGATTGAATGAAATCATTCTTATAAGACAGCAAGCCTAATGTCTTTGGCATAGTAAGGATTTAATACAAGTGAATGGATTTTATAATTGTCGCTTCACAGATAGGATAACCTTATTTGGTGAGGGGGAAAGGACTGTTGGCTCTGTCTTCTGAGGAGTCTGAAGTCACCGGAGAGAAATAATATGGCCAAGGTCTTGGTGCAGGTCAGTGGCAGATGGAAGTGGCGGTCTGGATCCCCAAGGCTGTGTGTGGAAACTAACCCAGAGGGCTCCTGATGTGCGTTGAACTTGGTCTCAGCAACAAACAGTAATTTCCTGAAGCCACTGATATGTGTGGGTGGGAGGGTTGCTCTGCTGGACTGACTGGTGCTGCAGGCCGGCCCTTGAAAAACAGAACCATGGCCCTTGACTGCTCAGGCTCCTGGTGTCTGGCAAAGGCCCCAGAGAAGGTGCAAGAGGAGAACAGGTGCACTGGTCCCCAGGGCTCATTTGGGCTTGATGCTTACAGGCAACATGGAGATTGACCTTGTCAGACATTCTTGTCCTTAGGACAAAGGACATTAGATTGCTCCTGAACTTCAATGCTTGGAAACAGGTAGAGGGCAGGGGGTATCTGAGACTGAAGGGGAGAAAAAAACAGCATGGTGCAGAAGCAATAGCTACAACATTGTCCTTCCTCCTCCACATAATCTCAACCCCTACACCCCAGGACTCTGCACCCCAAACATGCTTGTGATTTCTCAGCTCCACTGGGCTCCTTCCCGCCACCCTGTCTGGCATGTGCTCCATCTACTTCTGTAGCAAAACCTTCTGTACCCTTCAATGCCGTGTTTGAGGTCACCACCGCCAGGAAGCCTGCTCTGATGCCTTGTCAGAACCTAGTTTTTCACAGAAGATCCCTGTTCACCAGTGGGTCCCTTTTCTGCCCACTGCTCCCCTTACAGATGTACATACCTAAATAAGTATGCATGAGACTGCGGGGTAGGCTTCAGTCCTTCCTGCTCTCAGAATAAGGCAGGGGCAGGATTTCATTTGAAAAAAAAAAAAAAAAAAAGAGGAAATAGTAACTTTCCAGGATCGTTCGCCATGTTGGGGAAGCACTGTGAGAAAGTCGGTGACAGGGAGGGAAGGGGGTGTTGGTCTCACCTCCCACAACCTGCTGCACAGGCCCCGCCCACGGGCCCCTCATTTCCATAAACAGAAGGAGTGCGTTTGCGAGGTGTGTTGCCTTTACGTTGCTCTTCAAACTCTTGTTCTCCACTCACCCCACCAATTACCAAATGCCTTCACACACACACACACACACACACACACACACACACACACCCTACCCCAGCAGATGTGCTGGAGTTGTTTGATCTTGAGGTTGAATAGGGACCCCAGTTTCTGACGTTGATTCTGATGCAGAAGGGGAGGGGGGAGAAAAAAAAAGCCGCGAACAGGAACTCTGTGAAGGGGCCAGTTCAGCTTTGATCTCACTATTGAGTTTTGCTAGTGGGGTGTGTGTTTATATCTACGCCTACTTCTCTTTTTAGCTCCAAGATTCTGTGCTGCCCAGCCTGCCCTTTGTAACACGACAGAAGGGAGTCTGGTCCCACTCGGTGCCATGAGATTTAAGTCGTTGAAGGTGATAGCTCGCGTTCTCTGGGTAATAGCGAGGCGACTGTCGCTTAATTTATGGATAGCTTTTCCTTTAAAGGATTGCAAAATAATTGGAGCCACTTTATCTCAACCCAAATGGAAAAGCAGCCCATTAAAAAGCCGGGAGGCCACAGCGTCCAGGCGAGAGGTCTGACTTTGCTATTTAATTCCTCATTTGCACATCTTCCTTACTAAAGGAAGCCCGGGACCGGCAGTCTTCTGACCTCCGTATGGCTGGAGGGACAAAGCAGAGTGCCCTTATTTACAGCCAAATTCCATTTCAAAGTTGCCCTAAACAAAGCTTCTCCTTAAAAAAAAAAAAAAAAAAAAAAAGCTAGAGAATTGTAAAAGTCCACTTGAAGTTTTTAAAAGGCACCTCCCTCTGATCTCCTGAGGAGTGAATGCCGGTCTCTGGGGTGATGGAAGACTGCCGGTTGTTTGTGGGACCCAGGGGCATGGTGGGTTTTCCGGGAAGGTCAGTGCACTGCCCATTCCAACCTTACTGTAGACTTCTTATCTGAGGACTGCTTTCTGCTCCGTGTGTGCGTCCTTCAGAGACGCGATCCAATCAATCCACCGCTGTTTACTTATGAAACAGCATGTACCAGACACTCTGTGGATGCCTGCAGTCAGTGGAGGGCATGTGTCTGCAATGCCAGTCAGAAGCCAAAGAAGGGACAACTGGCTCTACAGGCTACGGTTGTTTTCAGAATTTGTATGATTCAGCACTTCCTGGGACAGTAGGAAGCACTAATTTGGCAGCAGCTGACTGGTAAGCACAATGGGAAGTGCTCACATGAGCAGGGAGATAAGGCCTGTCCTCATCGCTTTCCAAATGGTCAAGAGATGTGCAGACTGCTAGGTGGTGAACGTGTGGCAGTGGATGCAGCTCACAGGCGCTACACAGAAAGGGAGTTCTTTGGACATGGCAAGAAGCTGCCCAGGGTCCAGCAGCAGGTTGGAATAATAACTTTTTTTTTTTTTTTTTTTGCCACTGAAGATGCCTGCTTTAAAATGCTGTCCAGGGATTGATGCTGTGGTATAGCATGCTGATCCTCAGGCTGTGGCACTGGCATCCCGTGTGGGTGCCACTGTGTGTCGTGGCTGCTTCGTTTCTGATTCAGCTCTCTGCTAATGGCCTGGGAAAGATGCAGAGAATAGTCAAGTTCTTGGACCCCTGCACTCATGTAGGAGACCTGGAAGAAGCTCCTGGCTTTAGATCAGCCCAGCTCTGGCTGTAGCATTCATTTGGGAGAGAGCCAGCTGACAGAAAACTTCAATTCCCTCCTCTTCCTTTGCAATCCTGACTTTCATATAAAATCAATTTTTTTTAAAGGAGATTTTTAAAACTAAGTAAATAAAATGCTGCCCAAGAGTTGGGGTTTAGCTCAGTGGTTGTCGCTACTGGGGTGCCCACATCCGTATTGGGGTCCAGATGCCTCAAGTATTCAGGCCTCTGCCACCTTGGCTTGAATTGAATCTGTGAGTCTGGTCTGGCTCAGCCCCAGCCATTGTGGACATGTGGGGGCATCACCTGGGAGGTGGGACAAGCTCTCTGGTGTCTAAGCTGTCCATCTCCGTTTCTCTGCCTTCCAAGTACATGAGCAAGGACATCAATGAATGCTTAAGAGATGCTGGGCACGGAGTGTGAAGGACAGGAGGGACTCCTGCCGGCCCTGCAGCTAGGAGCACTAATCAGCTGTGAAAGACTTCAACTGGCAGCTTTGGGTTCTGGAGCACTTCTCAGGAGATGCCACCTCAATCCATGCCAAGTGAACACTCTGTCAGGGAATCATGCTCTCTAAGAAAACATTGCTGAAGGCTCCCACCTTCCCCAGCGTGTCGGCTGCCCTTCACTAGCATCTCCTGCTGTGGCTTTGCAGCCTTGGTAACTGTGTGTCTCAACTTCAGCAGATAAGTATCTGCTCCCTCAGCCTAGTTCCCCCTAGTTCCCCCTCACACACCCCATCCTCATTTGACCTTGTTGTTGTCAGAGTATACCACGTCCCAAGGTCCCAACCTTGTCCTGTCATGAGATGGTTTGTACAGCTTGTTCCCCTGTTCCTCAAGAGTGCTTTATGCCACTGTTGGTCAAGTAGACTTGGCCAGCTGAAAATGAATTAGACTATTAAAGATCTCTGCTTTTTGTTTATATATATGCATGCCTTTACTTATTTTTGAGATGCAGAGAGACGGCGAGAGTTCCTATTTTCTGATTCACTTCCCAAATGTGTGAAACGATTCCCCAGCTGATGCCAAAGCCAGGATCCCGGAACCCCATCCAGGTCTTTTCACCGAGTCACTTGGCCATCATTGCTCCTTGCCAGGATCCGTATCGGCAGGAAGCTGCAGGCAGGAATGTGGCTGGGACTCCAACCCAGGCAGTCTCTTTTGGGGCATGGGCATCTTCAGTCTCAGGCCCTACGCCTGCCCTGCTGCATACTGTGTATCATAACCATGTGTGTCTGTAGGCAAGCTCACTCATTAAGCAATACAAAATGCCTGCTGTATACAGTAAGTCTCTACTATGAAAAAAAAAAAAAGACACCACAGAGAAATGCAAGGTTGTTTTCCTGTATTTACTTGTTCAACAATGTAGGTACATGTAGTACTACAAAACTTTTATTTCTTTTTTTTTAAAGATTTATTTATTTTTATTGGAAAGGCAGATCCACAGAGAGAAACAAAGATCTTCCATCTGCTGGTTCACTCCCCAAGTGACCACAATGGCCAGAGCTGAGCTGATCCAAAGCCAGGAGCGAGGAACATCTTCCGTGTCTCCCACACAGGTGCAGTTGCCAGGCTTATGCTTTCCCAGACCACAGGCAGGAAGCTGGATAGGAAATGGAACAGCTGGGTCACAAACCAGTGCCCCTATGGGACCCCAGTGCTTGTAAGGTGAGGATTTAGCCATTGATCCATTGAACAGAGCCCCAAACTTTTATTTCTAATAGCATCTAGCAGCAACGCTTATAATTCAATCTTAGCCACTCAAATAATACTACTCTGTGAACACAACATCGAGTCTAAGCTTTGCATCTGAATATGTAATGTCTGTGTGGTCATTAGCAAGTCACCTAACTCTTATTTGTAAGGCCGAAATCCCAGGTTGCCTCATGTATTAGGTGAGATGACATTAAGAGAACTGTTGTTGGACATTACGCCTGTCCCCTAACAGGTTCTTACTAAATGCTAACAATTTTTCCAAGGCTTCAGATTTTTCCAATGTCTCTACTTGGGACTCAGAGGCCGTAAGCATTTTGCTTTATCTTGAAAGTTGATTTTGCCAACATTTCTCTTAAAATATCAGCATGAGGTCAGCACTGTGGCAGAACAGATAAAGCCACCACTTGCAGCACTGGCATTCCTCTGGGCATTCGTTTGAGTCCCAGCTGCTCTACTTCCCATACAGCTGCCTGTTGATGCCCCTGAGAAGGCAACGGAGGCTGGCCCAAGTGCCTTGGCCTCTGCACCCACACGGGAGATCCTGAAGAAGCTCCTGGCTCAGGTTTGGCCCAGCTTTGGCTATGTAGCTGGCATTGCCCTTTGGATCCTCGCTGTTCCACTGCATACACTCATGTCCTGTGTGCAGCTCCAGGGCTCCGTGCTGCAGCACAGCACCCCCACACCATCCTCTGGACAAAGAAGCGTCCTGCTGTGCCAGGTATACGGGATCAGCCGGGTGCTCCCCAGACCGGAGTGCCTTCAGGACTTCCGTTTCTGCTCTCACAGACACCTCTTTGAACCTATGTATTTCTTTCAGATGCATGCAGTGCCCTGCTCCTGTTGGTGTCCAGGAGCTAGGCTTCTTAAAATTATTACCTAAGGTTATTCGTTTTGGCCTTGGCTATGACACCCAATCATCCCATCGTCTTCACCACTCTCCCTTGTTTTTGAACTCCTCCAGCCACTTGGAGAGGAGTTGGCCTTTGCCTTTCGTCTCTCTGACGGCTTTCATCTGCATTTTTCCTACCCATATTCAGTGAGAACTGGCTGGCTATGGTAAGCCAGCCTACATTGGATTCTGTCCTCTTGTACCTGACAATCTGATTCTGCTCCCAGAAACCACGTGTCACCCACTGTGTGCTATCAGGAAGGGACCTCAGCAGCATCATCCTAGGTACCCTGCTTCCCGCGGGCCAGGGCTTGGCAAGTGACTACTCCTGCGCCAATCAGACCCTCTCGGGACTCCACACCCAAGACAACTCTTGAGCTCTTGCTCAAAAGTTTGCTCCTCAAACTTTAGTGGGTCCAGAACCACTCCAGGAGCAGGTGGAAAGCTTGATTTCTCCTAGCTCACCGAGAATCTTTGTGGCAGTAGATCTGGAGACAGGCCCTGGAGCCAGAATTTCCAATAAGGTTCCAATAAATCCCCAAATTTGGGATAAGAACTTTAAACAACTACTTTCCCCCAGCTGTGAGAGACTTCAACAGATTGCCTCTGAACTTTATTAAAATGCAAAGGCAGGGGCTGCACAGTGGCTCAGCTGGCTAATCTTCCTCCTCCAAGCACCAACATCCCATATGGGCTCTGGTTCATATCCTGGCTGCTCTACTTCCCATCCAGCTCTCTGCCTATGACCTGGGAAAGCATAAGCCTTGGGACCCTGCACCCGTGTAGGAGACCTGAAAGAAGCTCTGGTCTTGGCTTTGAATCCGCTCAGCTCTGGCTGTTGTGGCCACTTGGGGAGTGAACCAGCAGATGGAAGATCATTTTCTCTGTCTCTGCTTCTCTCTGTCGATCTGCCTTTCTAATGAGAATAAATAAATCTTTAAAACAGTAACAAAAAATAAGTTGAAAAGGCAGCAGACAAGAGGAAAAAGTTGAACCTCAGGGACAGGTGAGACCCTGACCCAAGGTGAGAAAATAGCCAGATGGGAGGCTATGCCCTAGGGCAGGGATCACTGCTGTAGTTAGCCTGGCATTCCTCCTGGCAGCAGGATTCCTCAAGCTGCTGGGCAGAATGGTTAAGGCCACTTCAATTGAAAGCCAGTAAAATCAGATAAAATAAAAATAACATAAGCAAGTGACTGCATAGGATCCCAATAAGTGTAAGACTGTTCCCCATCATTTGGAATTCTCAGCATGCCCTCAGCTAGAGCTGGCACTGGGGGCACTGGAGGTCTGGCTCCTTCATGGTCCACAATGGCCCTCATACCTTCCTCTAACACTGCCTTCTGTCAAAATATTTGTCTGGGTTGGCCTTTGGCCTAGAGGTGAAGCTGCTGGCTGTGATGCCTTCAGCCCGTGTCTTAGAGTTACTGTCCTGATGCCACTTGGCTTCCCAGCTTCCTGCTTGGCAATCCCTGGGAGGCAGCAGGCTGGGGCTCTGGTTGCTTGGTCCCTGGTGTTCACGTGGGAGACCTGGATTGCCTTTCTGGCTCTCAGCTTCCCGCTGCAGTAGGGCTCAGCTCCAGCTGCTGCAGGCATTTGAGGAGCAGACCAGGAGATGGTAACTCCTACCAACTGCATCTCTCTCTTTTACTCAGAAGAAACAAATACATTTTCACCTCTTTTTCAGAACTCAACTCTCAGCTTATGTCTTCCAAAATCTTTCTTTTCCTTCATCATCATTGGTTACATGCACAACTTCGGATGCGCTCACTCCACTGTCCTCACACCAGTAACAGCCCTGATGTCCCTGCCCCTCCCTGCCATGCTGGAGGTCTGCTCAGCTGTTCCATTGACCCCTTGGCACAACCTTGGGAAGTAAGTACAATTACTCATGTTTATGGATGAGGACACAAATTTAGAGCAGTAGCTTACCCCCAAAAGCTTACTTGGAGAAAAATAAAGGCAGGATTTGAATGCTGTTCCACTTGATTCCAAAAATCTCTCAAACCCCTCTGCCATACTAAATTGACTTGATATTTGTGCCCATGGCAGTGAGTATGTGTGCATATGAGTGCTCCTCTGCTTGCTTGAGCATTTAATCTCCCCGTCTTGGAAAGCTTTCCTAGCTGGGATCTGGATTCTCTAGAAGAATATTCTGGAAATATTGCTTACCCCTGATGTGTTGTTGTCTAATAGCTGACATTTCTCTCCATGTGCAGGGTTGGGCACATTACTGGAAGTGGAAAACATTTTTTTTTAAGTACTTACCAATTTGCTGTGTTTTCCACTCATATCTATGAGATGGAATAAAAATTGGCTTCCCAAGGGGGAATAAAGAGTTCATTATTCACCATCATCTATTGAGAGTCTGTTTTATGCAGACCATGAGGCTGGGTCCTGGAGGAGCCACAGAGGAAGGCCTTGATGTGGGAATTCTTGGACACAGGGGTGTTCCGGGATAGAGTTAGGAAAGATGGGGTTGGTGAGGGAGGGGAGGGAAGGAACAGGCAAAAGCTAAGCAGGAGACAATGCTTTTGTGTTAATACTGGTCCCCAGCTGGTTGGCAAACCATCTTCCATGCTGAGCCCAAAGCTGTGTGCCACATGTAAAGGCACCTGGGATAGGGGTACTGTGGCAAGAATGTTGGGAAGTTAGAGGTATGGAGTACAGCAACGTTGCAAACATGGGGAGCTGCATTCACTTAGCACAGGCTCCCGGGCAGTGATTGAAAAGATATGGGGGGCAAGCACTCACTCATTCATTCAAACAGTTCTTCATTCACGCATTGCACAGATACTGAGTACAGAAGTTGGCATTAAGAGAAGTCAGAAACAAGACAGCTAGGGTGTTGCCCTGGTTGTGAGGGAAGTGGCTTTAAGACCAATGGGAAAGGGGGCATTCTAATCACACTAATGATTAATACTGTGAAAGAGAATGTGCCCAGTGTTACCAGAGGACCCTGACCTGTGGCCAGGCGGTATGTCAAGTGCTCCAGGCAGGGGCCAAGGGGCAGGAGTTCAAGACCAAGCTCTAAGTGAAATGGCCTCTGTGCCTGCAGTTCATTTGGGTAAGGGTGAGGCCAGTGCTATCTGCAAGTTCAAGCCCTGCCTTGCCCTTGAGCAACAATCCCTGCAATTGTAGCAACAGACCCAGTGCCCAGACTGAGAGAATGTGGCATGTTGATGAGCACTGAACTTAGAACCCAAAAGACTGGCATCTGGCCCCAACCATTTCTTATTCCAAGAATGAGTTTGGGCAACTGCTTGCATTTTGAGATGAAAACTCTGTTTCTCCCTTTGCTAATGGAAGAAATCTTCCCAGCTCTGGTTGCCTTAGAGAACTCACAAATGAGATTGGGACTGGTGAAAGGCAGGTGGTGTTTATGATCACACACACACACACACACACACACACACACACACACACACACGCACTCACTCACTGAGCTTAATGAGCACAGGCTGATTCGTGTCCTGAGCAGCTTCAGGGCTAATGAAGCATTGAAAAGGTTGGGATGAACATGGCCCAGGGAAGGAGTTCTAGTTGATCACAACAGCCAGGTCGGGGGCAGGCCTAAGCAAGCCTGCAGGACATTGCACAGGGACCACGTATGAAAGCAAGACTCTGGGCTTGGGGACAGGGCACTCCCAGAAGGGAAAAGCCAGAGAGCCTCAGTGCAGAGTAATCAGAGATCAGGGGAGCTGTGTGGGTGAAGCAAACGACATTGTGAAACACAGGATCGACTCTCTAGTCCTCTTTTAAATAACTTCTTTATTTAAAAGAGAGTTCTTACCCCATTTGCTGGCTCATCTGGCTCATGTCCCACATTGCCAGGGCTGAACTAGGAGCTGGGAACTCAATCTAGATCTTCTATATCAGAGGCAGGGACCCACCTAACTGCTACTTTCTCCCGACTGGCACTAAGCTGGAATTGGGACTGTGAACTCAGGTAGTCTGATAAAGAATGTAGACATCTCAAGGGGCATCTTAACAACTGGGCCAAATGCCTGCTCCCCTGTCTTGCTTTATCTGGGGTTGGTTTAATGTAACCTCTCATAAAACATCTAGATTATGGGTTAAGTTTGTTTATCGGAGGAGTTTAATTCTATTACCAAGAGGAGGGCCTCAATTTTCTACAGAGAAAAAGGAGCTATCAGAGGGCATTGGCAATAGAGACCACTCAACACCGGACAGTAAAGTGAACTAAAGATGGGTTGAAGAGCAATATGGGGAAATGCAAATTTATAAAACTGTAAAACTAAGCCAGAGGAGAGAAGCCCTTAAGATAAAGAGTCTCAAAGACCCCCCAAAGCACAAACTTTAGGGGCAAAATACTGATGGACTTTCTTACCTTGATATCACATTTTTGTGTTCCACAATGAATATGTTAGATAAAGGCTAAATCAGGGCCACAAATGAAGAGATGTCTACAGAACCTGAAACTCATGCACCAAGATAGAAGAACAAAGAGGAAGTCCAAAAGAAAACTGGTCAAAAGCTGTGATGAGCAACTGAGTCACTCAGGAAAGTCAAAACTAACAAATACACAAAGACCATTGATCTCACTAATCATCATAGAGATACAAAGGCTAAGACGGCATTCATTGGTTGTCACTGTGTTTGTAAAAGCCAGAGTATCAGACAATAAATACTGAAAAGGTAGTGAGGAAATTGGAACACACACAGCAGGTACAACCATTCATAAGAGCACCCTTGTCGCTGTTGATGCATTTCCCTGAGGGAAGGCCTGGGGCTGGGAAAGCTCTCATCTAAGCCAGTTTCATGTGGTTTATGAATAGCAGAGAGGTGGCGACATCTCAAAGTTCGTCTCTGGGAAAATGGGTGCCATACCATACCATACACTAGCAGCCACAGTCAGAGTGAGTGAATTAGGAAAAAACTAATAACATGAATAGAATAGATATTAGTATAACGAATTCTGGCATAAAAAAAGAAATATAAGGAAACAAGTAGCATGATAGCTTATATGTAGTTTAAGAACCCAACAGAAAATAATTTTTTTTTCACAAGGGTACCTTGGAGATATGTGTGTGTGTGTGTGTGTGTGTGTGTGTGTGTGTATCTCCAAACACATCAGAATAGGTTTTCATACTGCAGCAAGATATAAGGGATTACTTTATTAATTGTTTTTCAACCAGGAAAACAAAAACCATTCTAGATATTTCAAACAGAGGAGCTTTAATACAGGAACTTGGTAACAAGGGATTGGAAAGCTAAGAGATCAGAAAGGAGACTTGAGATAAACTTGAGATAAATGATGCTTATTTTTTGTTGTTTTTTTTTTAATATAAAGATTTGTCTCTACTCTGCAGGTTATTGTTTTGTTGAACTTCAACTGTGCACCTTTACTCCCACAAGATAGCCAAGAAAATGAGAAGCAGCACACACAGAGTTTGATACAACGGGCCAAGCTGGCCCTTGTGCTTTATTTTGTCTGACCTGTGCCTTTTCCAGGAATGCACAAGATTTCAGGCTGTTATGCATGCACAGGAAGTGCAGGGAGGGAGGGAAGCTCTCGTTGCTGATAGCTCCACCCTTGACTTGGTACAGTTTGATCAAAGTTGGTTGTCTGGTGTTCTACTGCAAAATCAAGAAGGGTGTGGGGAGAGCTCAGGGAAGAGGGTGGATGGATGGATTACAGGTGACATACAGCTGATAGGAAAAAACATATCATTGTTGGGAAAAGAGAAATGTCCAGGGAGGAGGGTGAACATGAAAGCAGGGTGTCAGCCCCTCTCTGTTGATTCCCCTGAACAGAAGTCTGCATTAGAAATTACACACTTCTTTAAAGAACTCAAAGCAAAGAAGCTGGGTGAATTCATCAGGTCAACTTGATCAAACTTCATAAAGTTGTCAAAAGATAATCTTTCATTCACTTTTGAATGACAAATTTAGTGCAGCCAAAATCATGTTTCTGAACCAGAAAGCCATTTAGTTTGATGCATTAAAGAATGCACTGCAAAAAAAAAAAAAATGCAGGGCCATTGACTCCACAACACAGAATGTCAATAGTGTTTTAACAAAATATAATAAATAAAATAACAAAAAATGGTTATTCCAAGAACATTCAGTATGCACCAGAAATGAGCAGGGTCACAGACCACAGCTCTGACCGTTCAAGGTGTGACTTTGACTGGCACCCTTGCCCTCCCTTCCTTCCTTCCTGCCTTTCTTTCTCACTTCCTCCTTTCCTTCCTTCCTCCCTTCCTTCCTTTGCCTAGTGAACTCCTCTGCATATACACGGGCAGGTTCTTTTGAACTCTTCTGAGAAGTCCGCCCTTGTTCTCTGCTCCCATCTGTCACTGGTGTGCAATCTTCTGCAGCTGTGGTTCTCACACTGCAGAGGACATCAGAGCGGAGTGGGTTTATTAAAACATGGGTTGCCGGCTCCACCCTGGGAATTTCTGATTCAGCAGCCTGGGTGGGGGCCCAGGATTTGTGGAACTGACAGGCTCCCAGCTGCTGACCATGCTGCTGCTCTTTCTGCTATTTCACGTTGGGGAACACTTTGTCAGAGAAAATTGCTGCCCGGGCCTGGCCAGGTGTTTGGTTTCGAGGTGGATTAAGGGATTTCTCTAACTTGCTGAGGGTCTATGAGTTTCTTGAAGGCATGGACCAGCTCCAGCCCTTGGAAAGGGCAATGGCAGGGAGCCATGGGGCCCAATCCAGGCCTGGTTAGCTGCTTCATGCTAGCCCTCTGACAACTGCACCCCACCTCAGACCCTGTCAGACTCCCAGGCCCCTTGGAAATCAGGAAAGTGGAATTAAAGACCATGAGTTGGTTTTGAAAAAGAAAAAAGAAGAGATCTGATTATAGAGCATGGCACAGAGAAAGGCACCAGAGTGTTTTTTCC